CCCCAAAACCCCAAAACCCCAAAACCCCAAAACCCCAAAACCCCTGGTAGTTATCTAAATGTTGAATGATTTCCTTTATTTACTACTATTCCAAAATAAAAATAGGTCAGAATACAATCGAGAGAATCTTTAGAAGCAGTAATTAAGATTACTCAGTCTTACACTTGTAGCTATACTTTGTCATATTTGGGAAGTAGTTCTTAAAACCTCTAAGCACACCATCATGGCCAAATTTGGTCTGAACTCCGTCACAGTAGTTGAAAATCATAATAAAGAGTCATCCTGCTTTAATAATATGGTCGATGTTGAATAGAGGGTTGTGGTTGAAGTTATTAAACCCTGCGGATTTTAAGCTTCCTCCAACTAGAACAACTAAGATCATAGCTATATAAGTGTTGAGAGCGTTCAAAGCTCCATTGAAGTTGATTTCTTTATTTCATTTTTGTGTCTTAACCAAGACATAGTCTTCCACAATATCAACAAGAGGGGTGCACAGAGCTTGAGTATTGAGGATGTGAAAGATCACTATAATATAATTTTGACCTGCCATGCTCTTGAAAACTGCAAAGAAGGAAATCACTTTTAAGAATCCATAGATGAAAGAGTAAATGGATTTGGAGTACTTGTTTTTACTATAAGCTCTAAATAACACATCATCATTGAGCGAATGAAGAACAGATAATATCATAAAGAACGAAGGCAATGTCTGGAAAGCTTTAGAAATATTAGCTGTGCTGAATAGTAAAGCAAAGCAAATATCAGGATAGTAAACCCTGAAGAAATCTCCAATTATTGTTTGCTGGATTGATCTTTTCGGATCTCTATATCTAGACTCCATAAACTTGTAAAGAATAACATATTCAAACTTGATTGTCAAGAGGCTTCCAAGGCAGCTATCTCTAATACCACTGACAAAACTCATGTTCTTCAGAAGAAGTTCAATACCAATAGCGTAGATGATGCACGCTATTATCGTGATTTTGGATATCATCTTTTACAAAATAAATTTTATTTGCAAACACTTCAATAGAGAATCCCTTATGTGGGGTTTTGGGGTTTTGGGGTTTTGGGGTTTTGGGGTTTTGGGGTTTTGGGGTTTTGGGG